AGGGCCGCCTTCCCCAGTGTAAGGTTTCCGGCCCCGGCCCCGCCGCGGCCTCGGGCGGAGCCGGGGCCACTCACCAACACTTCTGCCAGCCCCAGGTGCGTGCGGAGGGCTGCAACGGGCGGGCCCGGAGCCGTTCCGGACAAAGTCACGTAGCAAAACAACTCTCCCGCTTTCGCTCGGTCTGGAGACCCTGGTCTGGGACCGAGACAACCGGGGATGGGGATGGGGGGTTTACTGCACTCCCAGGTTATTTTGAGGGGAGGAATGTGGCGATCAAAAAGGAAAAGGGGACCTGGAGGCCTTTGAAAGAGGCTGAGAACGGAGGGCGAATCTTGGTGAGCTGCTCTTGGCTCTAGGGAAAGGGGACGGGACAGAGGGAGCGGCGAGCGCGGGGCGGACGAGCTGCCGGCGCTCCACGCCTCCTAGGTTATTCGCTCGGGTTTCCTCTCACGTTCGTTAAGGGCGGGGGGGAGGGGGTGGCTCGAGCTGCGACCATCCTCACCCGCTGATCCGCGAGCAAGCCGGGCTTCGGGCACGCTGGCCCTAGAAGACGCCTATCTTATCATCATCATCATCATCATCATCATCATCATCCATCTAGCTACATCTGTATCTTTTTGTCTCGGACTCTGAAGATGTCCTTGAGATCAGTCCAAATAACCCAACCACATCTGAGGGCCAAAACGCAAACTAGCAGGGAGAAGCCCAGAATGGGCGTTGACATAAAAGAAAACCAGAAACAGAACCCCTCCAAAACACCCCGCATTACCCTCACAGGGTTTCCACGACGTTGGGCGGAAGCGGCGACCCCAGGAGCGCGCTGTCTCCCCTCCTCCCACTCCCGCCCTCACCTCCAGATCAGAAATTTTTCGCAATGCTCGGTACTACACCTAAAAAATTTACAAGGGAGAAAAACACGGCATGCTTCAGAAGAACTCCACGTTCGCAGAAGTGTGCATCAGTCGGTCTATTGGAGGTACCGGGGCGATGGTAGACAGGAGGACACATGGACATAGGCAGGCAAGACAGACGGACACTTACCTTACAGCCGCATGGGAAGTTAGAAAAAAAATTAAATTGTCCTTCAAAATTCCAAATAGCCAGCTATCCTAAAAGAAATCAAGAGTATTGAGTTAGAAATCTTGCTGTCTTCACCCCTCCGTAAAAAGTCAAACTAACGAAAAAAAAATATTTTTAAGAATCGAAAATGAGGAAAGTAGCTCGAGTTGGAAACACGCGTGGGTCCCTCTGTGATACATACAAAGTAGACGTGGTGAGGGCTGCTCTAGCGATTTTTATTTTTAATAACAGTGGAGGCTGAGTTGGAG